AAGATTTATTTTGTTAGTAATCCTGCTTTTAGTGTCATTTACTGTCGGATATCATAATGACCGTTATATCAATGGATCATTTTTCATTGCTGTAAGTGTAGAAGCGGTATTATTCACTTCTACGAATTTTACAGGGGCTGATAGAATATCTTGTTCGTGTCTGGAAGAAGCCTCCGTTGGTGTACTGTGACTATCACGGGCACTCGAGAAAGAAGAATGTGTTTTTCTACGGTTGCGCGGGCGCCGAGAGCTGGTGCAGCAATGACCGAATAGTGCCAGATGAACCAGTCAAATATTTAGTAAGTTACAAGTGAAATTATGTGTCCTAGTGTGATAAGTTAGTACGAAATTTATAAAATAATGCAAGACCGTGCAGTTACTTAATCAGATAGATATTTGAAAATTAAAATTCATCAATCATAAAATTAATTTAAAATACAAAAGCCCCGTCAATCGGCACTTTTGCCATTGAAGTTGTTTAAAGAAAGTGCCAATTTTCTATTTCGGTCCAATTGGGAATATCCCTATTCATAATTTATTTTATGTTTATGATTATGATTTCTGCAACGAGCAAGCATTTTTAATACCATCAAAGATACAAGCAGTGGGAAACTAAAACCACATGCACTGCATGATAAATAAATGACTGCAGTATCCAGTTGTTTGATTTTATCAGAATACTGTACTTCCTGATGCATGAGCACTTATGGCATAACGATATATCGTTAAGCATTACCTTGTGTAAGTTATAACATAGCCTTAAAGAAAACAAACTGAAGAAATCAGCAAAACAACAAAGATCAGGCTGAGTGTGTACAGCCTTTTTATGACATGGCTTTCAATAAAAAAAAATAAAGAATTCTTACCAAATATTTAATAGGTACAAAATTTTCATAACAGATGCTGCCAGCGCTAATGCACCGGATTTCGCCGGCATTTGCGCTCGGCTCATGTTCCTTCAGAGTGGAACGAGAACGGGAGAGTACTGCCAGGGTCACGGTGTGGAGACACCTTGGCGTCACCAGATCTTACACCATGGAAGCATCCTTCTGTGGCTTTGACAGAGGTCCCTTCAAGGTAATGGTTAAAGAAAAGAACATGATCATTTTATGAGACGAATTCTTGACTCTTGCAAAGCCTGCATATACTATCGTGCAAAAAAAACTGAATGTAGATATGTAGTATATGTAGTAATGTTGTTTTTCTTTTTGAAATAGCCGCCGTAGATGTTATTAAACGAAGTCTTTAATTGAGTCTGCTTAAAAAAAGGACTAGAATTTATTTCGAAACTAAACGACAGCCGACGGTAAAACATGAATACAACAACACTATCAAACATGTGGGCCCTACAGTGAGATTAGCACGAAGTACTTAATAGTAAGTTACAGATAATAGGTGCTGGTACAACACATGCACGATATAAACCTTCTTAATGTGCTGCGATAAAGGAACGTCTAATCTTTAAACAAGAAGATGCATGTAATGAATTAATATTGCTGGAAAAAAGTATTATAGCTATAAAAAGCAAAAATAGCAATTAGGAAGTTCCTGTAAAGTTAATAAATGTACTTCAACTCGATTACAATACAACAGCTATAAAACCAATCACACAACAGACAGTCATTGAATACATTTTGATCGTATAGTTTCATTAATTACTCTTCACTATGCAGGCCTTAGTCAAGTTGAAACGAAGATAATTTCCGCAGAGCAATATAATAATGAGACGCATTCCATCACACTTATACTCCAATTAGAAATGACAGATGCTCAGATTAATGATAACGATAGTTAGCTACCAGCCATGTGGGCTAATACATCTAGCGGTGTCTATCCCATACTCGATACGAGATCCCCTGATAAGGGTTACAGTCGCTACAAATCTTCCATCTACTTTATGTGGGAAGACAGCTATGGATGTATGGAGTAGGTGTTTTAGTAATGGATCTTCTTAGCTGTGGTGTGATCGCGGATTTTCTTCTGTAGGTAAAATATGCTGATTGGGACTATTGATTTTGTTTTCAAATTTGGGTATTTTTGTTGCGGATTTCTTTACGACTCAAATAAGAATATCAAACACTCGAATACAGTCAATAGACAATATTCTTTCTTGACAAATATCTAGAGCAGTTTTTATGGTAAAGAAAATTGACGTTTTTAATAGATACTTTACTCCCAATTTTTGTTTAATTTCTCAAAGTTTAGACTTTCCCTTAACTTCTACGAATATGTCAAGCTACCAAAATGAACTTAGTCGGTCTAGACGTTTTAGAGGTTTTGCGAAACTAACGAACAGCTATTAATTTTTATACGTCATTTAAAACAACTATCAGAATAAAATCTACAACATAATTTCCGTTTTAGTATTTTACTGCACGTGACTGTCCACGTAAAGGAAATCGCTGACAGTCAGTATAATAATCCCATCGATGAATACCTAATAATAAATCAGCGATGCAGCATTCTCGTATAGAATGACTCAAAGCTAAATTATAATGTGGATCGCGAATTCGTGACACGGTCGTAACAATAGTACTTACATATTTGCCTGTATGACACGAGCTTTTGAGTCGAAAGTCGGTTAAGGTATTTAATTATTATTCAAAGGACTAGTATTCTTCTATTGTTTTGCATTTGCCCAAAAAAATACTAAAACTGCGGTGGCCTGAAGGACTTAAGCACAAAAGAAAAAGGAGGGAGGAGTTATATCTTTCGAGCTGATGACTAATGATAAATATGCAGCATTGGCTGGATGGAGTAAAATTGTTAACAACTATTAGCAAAGATATTTATTTAAAACGATTGGCATCCTTACCAGGGCTTCCATCTGAACACTCATCATCTTCAGAGCGTGGGCAGTGACTTCTGCGAAGCTCTCAACGGCCTCAACGACACTGCCACCAATGTTGACATACAACTCACCAAGGATCTTAACGGGTGAGTGGACTACTTGGCGCCATTCATCATTCATTACTCATTACACACTTACAATGTAGCAAATACCTTACTTTAAGTATAGACGATAGCACATCAACTTATCATAAGCTGTCAAATACCTTCAATGGATTCCCAACTTTAGTACCTACCGACAAAGTTGAAAATATGTTAAAGTAATTTCATAGATTATAGAGTAGCTGAAGTCTATAGATAAAATGATGCTGACAAGCCGTTTAAGATATGTCTACAAGAGAAAAGCAACAAGCACAATGGTTCTTTTATTTTTAACATACTTACATAAGTTCTTGCACACATCATATTGAAAGATTAATATTTGTTTGACAGAAATATCGTAGAGATCAATATAAAAGGTGCTGATAGAGACAAAGACAAAGACAGGCAAGTTCAATTCATGGACAATGAATTGTCTAACACAAGACTAACCTCGGGTTCCATTAAATATTTTCACTTCTCGCTAAAAGCTGTCTCGTTTTAAGTCTTCTAACTAATAATGAATTGATTTTCGAACACAGTAAACTACCTCATAGTTCATAATTTTCAACTCGGGCATCAGCTAATGCAGAAAACTTTCATTTCGCTGTTATATTTACTAGCAATTCTCTTAAAATATTACAATCATCGATATCGTAACACAACGTTAAAACTCAAACATTACAAAAACTAGTGTAACCGAACATAAGAGCCTTAACATTTTTTCTATAATAAAATTACCAAGAGCGAAATATTTGTTCGGTTCAGAATGCCATCGACATTATTACCTATCAAGAATATCCCAACGTATTGCATGAACGCATTATTTAAGCTTGTTTACACAAGCTCAAGGTACGAGAACAAGATACACAAACTCGTATGCGCCAAGCGATAATAATCACATACGAGTTTCGCAACTATCTACCTGCTTTATGTTAGTCATAAGTATCCCTTACGAACTTAAGAATGTTCGAAATTATGGTCTGTGTGCTAAAAAGGGCTAGGGTTAACTATGGCTAATGCCCATAATCATGATCTTGTTTAACACACTAATTTTCGACTGACCGATTCATCTTCAGTAGATTTTATTTTTTAATTTTTTGCTAGATGATTATGACGAAATCCTTTCTTCGATTCTTTGAAATGTCATGGTTGAATCATGTTTTGCAAGGCCAGCTTTTGATCAAGTATAATTCATTTCTTGAAATCCATTTGATTGCCTGTCTCTTTTTTTCAGTAAATTAATAGTTAGTATGTTTGTGTGCAGTGAGATTGCTGTGGACAGCGAGCCAGGCTCTGGTTCCGACAGTGTGTTGAAGACGGACTCTGATGAGGACTTCGACTAATTGGATTTATTTATATTATTACCTTAGGCTAAGCGCTTGCAAATAATAGTCAGGTGCGGTCTGTGTCACGAGCTAGTGTAAACTTAACGTTAGATTTAGTCGGCGACCGGTCTAAGTATTCGTGACGAACCAGCAGAAGGCCTAGTGCGAGTTTGCTTTACTTTAAGGCGGTGGACACGACGTGTTATCACATTTGGGGTTTTGATTGGCTGCTCCTAGTTAACTAACCAATCAGAGCGCTGAACGCGGTAATGTTTCGATCGCGTAATTGTAACGCAAATTTGCATTAGACCTTATGTGTGTAAAAAGAAATAGTAACAAAATTAGAAGTGTATAAACGAACCGAACTCGGATTATTTCTGTTTCCACTATCGCCACAACTAGGCACAGCTAGGCTAGGCAGTAGCTAGTTTAGGAGCTGCGCTTATTTTGTTACGAATTTACATGAGTTTCAATTTAATGATTTTAGTGTTCCTTAAGTACTATGTTGTAAAAAATTTGACCTTGTAAAGTTGTAAGGCCGTGACCACATTATATTGTGTAGTTTGGTTTGATGTGATATAAGTTAAATTGTAAGTTGCTTGTGATCTCAATTACTAATAAATTATGAAATCACGTAATGATTTTCTTTTTTTTATCCTATTTGCTATACTTTTTCCCATAATAAGGTGTAGGTAAGGTATGTATCAAAGAGGTTTTTGTAAGGAAGAAACAAAATAATATGAGTATATTAAAAAATCCAAAACTATATTGTCATCATTAACAATAAATTACAATTTATACTAAAATTAAATAAATAATTTGCACTGCTCCGCATCAATAGTTCTATCCACTGTACTGATAATGTTACCAGTATAATAAAAATATACACAGATAAACATAAAATGCATAGGTAATAAATGATAATATAGTTTACACATACTGACAATATAATGTTTGATTTGATTGCTAATGTTATAATAATAGTTTACAAAAAATTAACAAATAATAAATTCTGATTAGACAAGACTTCGGTTACAACATTTATAAATATTAACAAAATACTGATATAAAACGATGTTATAAACATTACGATAATTATTCATATCTTAAAATATAGTGTAGTGCACGAAGCTTAGATTTGTTCTAGGATCACACATATTTTGTTAACCTAAACTAAATTAGCGGAAAATACAATATTGTCACAGAATAAGGAAAGTATTATGTACGCCATTTTTTATAAATATATTATTAAATCGGCCATTTTTCAGCGCTATTTCTCGAAGGACGGGAGTAGATTAGCTCAAGGACTTTACATAAGCTTTGAATCCCACGAACCATACAGTTTTATACTGTTATCTTATCACCTACAATGCTACACAATCATTGACCTTAAAACTGCTGAAGGTGATGTGTACAAAATCACAAATAATAATAATTATAAACTGAATATATACGTATTTTACATAAAGATTATTGTAACATAGATTGATAGAACAGAAATGGATATTTCAAACCAGTGTTAGCGCCTGTTTTGCTATTTCTTAATAGCCATTACGCATGTACCAGATAAATTTGAATTTATCATAAAACGTTTATTGAGTAGGTACTTATATAAATGTGGTGATATGAATAGACAAATTAACATAGGTAAAATTGTACAATTGTGTAGTTTCTATTCACTCGGTTGCTAGTTTTTGTGAATTTCATTAATACGTCTGTACGTACGTCTCAAGAGCTGTAATAAATAAGGCGGATAAAAAAATATCTCCTTTATGTAGTATTTCTTGGCTACTGATTTTACATTTACCACAACTTCTATCGTGAAAGCACCATTAGAAGTGATTTTTTGAATACAATATATATTTAAATTGCTTGTTTTGAAAAACTAGACGAAATTATTTTTTAAAGACACCATTGATACAATTGTTATAATATTTTATGTTTATTTGTACATCAAAGGTGTTTAAAGTACTATATAGTTTCGATTTATGCATAGTTACAAAATAGCTTTAATAGGCAAACCTTTGTTGTTTTTGACAGATACAAATTAATCCATATTTTAAGTTGAGAGTGAAGCTCTTTTGTTTTAAACGTTAAATACCTCATGTAGAATACCTTTGGCAAAAGATCGATTGCTTTAAATAGAACAAAGGGCCTACCATGAGTCACATTGCCTCTTTTAACTTTCTCTTTTGAATGCAACATTTTGTTGCTTTAGAAAATCACATAATAATACATAACTTAATATAAAGTATTGCATATTTTTCTAACGATTTTACGACATTTATAATAGCTTATTTAACCAGGTGGTTACATTTCGTGCTTTAAAACTTAATCTAGAATAATTAACACATATCATGAGCAAAATTAGTACTCAAAAAATGTCTTTTTCATACAAAGAGACATTATTGATTAGGAAATAATTGTAATAAAGTGTCTACTTAGGTCACATAACATTTTCTTATAATACAGAATGTGTCTTTGTTTAAAACTAACATCTGTTCCACTGGTACAGATATTACAATGAATACAAAAATTTTATGTGATTACATCTGACGTAGAATAAACAGGACATCTATAGATGGAAGAGACCGCTCGGCCGGCGACCAATCACGTTAGTGTAAAAAGTTATACACAAATATTATTTACAAAAGATACACATATCCCGGCCAATCACAAATACATATAAGTTCGATCAAACCGAACACATTGTGGACTTATTACCATGTTTCTCTATACACACTTAAGTGCTAAACTAATCTTAGTTGGTACACAGCATCAGAGTTAAAACACAGTTGTAAAACTATAGCTTCAAGGTATATTGATAGGGACACGCCAGGCACGTTGTTCAAGGGATTGTGACTGCAGTTTTGTGATGTTAAATGCCATATTGGTGGAGTCGCCAATATACGGAGGTTGGTAACCGAGTGTGTAGAGTAGTTGGCACTTACGTGTGTCACTGTGCGGGCGCGGGGGGCGCGGGGCTGGGCGCGGCGTGGGGGCGCGGGCGCGGCGGCTGGCGGCGCTGGCGCGCGAGGAACGAGTGTCCGGCCGACAGCAGCGTGAACCGCGTGTCCACGGCGTCGCGGTGGCAGCGCGCGCCCAGCGTGTACCACGCGCTCGTCAGTAGCCGCTGCTCGCTGGCGCCCGCGCCGCCCGCGCCGCCCGACCCTCGCGCACTCTCCTCCGCACTACCTGACCAACTGCGGAAGACACGCGTCCCATCAACATACAAATACATTCAACAAAATATCGGCCTTATCTTGACATACATTTTTTTTTTCTTCTTTAAAAAAACGTTGCCCCACATTTGGATTTCCTCCTGTGTCGTGGGTGCGGTTACAAACATACGATTTCACATACACATAACACCCAGACCCACGGAACAACTCTTTGTGGATCACACGGCAGCCAGTTGCCCAGCCACCACACCAACATTGCTATCAAACTTTCAAAGATTTCTTGGAATAAATAAATGTTTCTTAATTAATTTTAAAATATGAATATGTATCTCATTAAAAATAAAGAAACAAATAAGTATCATTTAGGGCTCATTTTTCAGTGATTAGAAAAAAGTTGTCTGCGCAATAATTATAATGCTGTCGCGTCAGAATGTTTGTATAGACAGTGACAGCAACAATTTTATTCCTCAGATAACATTATTTATCTGAATTTTTGAAAATCAGCCCTTAATTGCATTTATTTTTTAGTCAGAGCATAAATCATCTTCATACGCCAGAATGATCTTAATGTTCTTAGAATAGTTGATGAACAAATTACAAACTACTGTGTAAAAAGGAAGATTAGAATACTCACTCGTTCCGATTACTCGCTGCTGGTGCGATTTCAGGTCTCGAGGGTCCAGCCCCGGCGCCCGCCGCACGCGAGTATCCTAACGTTATGTCTGATAACGATGGTTGAGCTAGAAATAAATACACAAAAAATTCACTTTTTGACCGATTTCAAAAACAAGTTCTTTATACCACAGGTCTATTTTTTAAAATATATAAATCGTAACGTGGGATACTATCTTTTCGAAATTGGTTAGCGATATCCGCAGCCGTCGTGGGCAAAATCCCACATAAAACAGGATAGGAACAGAGTTATTTTTGGTGAAAGCAATTTGGTTATTTTCGATTATCACAAAAACCCTTTGGTTTGTTCTTGAAAGCAAAGGTTGAAGATTAACTTTATCGAACTAAACTAGACATACTATACTAGCTACTAACCAGAGGCTCTCGGGTCTAGCGACTTGATGACATCCTTAGCTTTCTCTAGACATTTCTTGTATTTATCTTCAGTGGCGAGCAATTCCGCGTCTCTGGCCGCTACTGCCTCTTGTAACTTTGTGATTCTCCGCCGTTCTTCTGCTAAGGCCGCTTGCAGTTCTTCTACTTGCAATGCTAAAATTAAACAAAATGCGTGAATAATTTTGTTAACGAGTAGATTACTCTTTCCGTTTTGAATGTGGTGACTAAGGAACGGCACATTTGGCAGAAACGGGACAGAAGCGCTCTCTGACAAACCTAGACCTTTTATACTATGGTTTTAAATTGTGATCTTCAAACTCATATAGTTGTAGCATAGAGTGAAATTTCAAAGTACTGGTTGAAAATAGGGCGATTATTAAATACTATCGACCGCCTCGTCTTTGCACGTGTGCTATGCTGATACTAAATTTCTTCTCTATTTATGCGATGTTATCTATACATACCTATAATAAATATGTAGACGGGTCAATTCTGTACATCTTCTTATATATAAAAATGGATCGCAAAATGTGTTGGTAAGCGCATAACTCAACAACGCCTGGACCAATTTTGCTAATTCTTTTTTTGTTGGGTTTGTTATTGTCAGGAGAAGGTTCTTACGAAAGAAAATTTTTGAAAAGTAGAGGGGAGAGTTGGGTAATACGGAACCCTTTCATCGTAAGCGAGATGATGAGACCCGTGCGAAGGAGGGGCGAGCGGCTAGTTAAATATATTTTCAAAATAACTACCAGGGGGTGATAAGTGATCGATACTGATGCAAAAAATGCAATCAGTAAAATTTTTGTCTGTCCGTAAGTTCCTTATAGAAACAAAAACTACTCGATAAGCCATCGCGCCGTCGCATGTGAATACTGAATCATGCTATAAGGATGCTGAATTATTTTTGTGTAACGGTTGCCGCACTAGACGCGACGCGGTATAAAATATAATATAATATACCTAATAGGTTTTATGACATATTTGTAATACCTATTAGTTAGATCCGTGCCATTCTATCTATGGACGGACGAATAGCGGAGATTTAGTAAGTAATAGGGTACTTACCCATAAAAATTAGACGATTAATAACAAATTTTACGTATATATACTTCTATTTTATATACTTAATACTTCTATTTGTTTAACGGACAAATTAGAAGGGGTAAATTCATCAATTGAATTTATGAATGTAAAGTTTGAGGAAATGAAGACCGAGTTTTCCTTAAACACCAAACTCGTGAACGAACTAAAAAAGGAAAATGAGCAACTCAAAACCACTGTTAAAGACTTAGGTATGAGGTTAACTCAGATGGAACAACAAGCACGTTCTACAAATGTGGAAATTCAATGTCTACCGGAGCACAACAATGAAAATCTTGTGTCAACTGTCTTGAATATTAGTAAGGTGATATCTGGCGACATAAATGAGAGTAACATTCATCATGTCACAAGAATTGCAAAGCAAAGCCCAGCGAATAACCGACCAAAGTCTATCGTCGTTCAGTTCAGCAGCCCCCGGGTCTGTGACAACTTCCTGGCGGCTTCCATCAACTTTAATAAAAACAAACCTTCTGAGGAGAAGCTCAACACGGCGCTTCTTGGGATTGCCGGTAGAAAGGAAAATGTCTATATAGTTGAACATTTATCACCGGCAAATAAGGCGCTGCATGCTGCGACCAGGATTAAAGCGAAGACTTTGGGCTACAAGTATGTGTGGGTTCGTGGCGGTAAGATTTTTGTTAGAAAACATGATGGTGCAGACTATAAATATATCAGAGACACCGAATCGTTGGACAGTTTACAATAAAAAAAAGCATTGGATAAGGTATAGGACTGTTATAGTTTTAAATTCGATGAGTTAAAAATATACTACCAGAATGTAAGGGGTATCAGGACTAAATTGGGTGAAATTTACCAAAAAGTTGCATGCTGTTCATATGATGTAATATTGTTAACAGAAACTTGGTTACTAGATGGTATCTTTGACTCGGAGATCATGGACAGTCGTTATTCTATTTACAGGCGTGATAGATCCCGTAATATATTGAATGATAAAACAGACGGAGGTGGCGTTCTTATTGCAGTGTCCACTAAAATAGAATCACAGAGATTGATAAAATTTGAAAGTTCGTGCGATGATCTCTGGGTCAAGTTGTCACATATAGAGGGTAAGAAAGCCAAAGAGATTTATATTTGCACTGTATACTTACCGTCGCCGTTACAGCCTAGAGTACTTGAACATTTTGTTGATAATACTAACAAAGTGTTAGAACACGTCAATGAATGCTTGATTATTGGTGACTTTAACATGAACACTATTAACTGGCTTGGAATGGGTGGTGATGTGATAAGAGGTCCACAAAACACTTGTACAAATTTAGAACGAACTCTTTGGGACTTTGTCTTGCTAAATAACTTAAGACAATGTAATTATTTGTGTAATCAAAATAATAGAATTCTTGATCTGGTCCTAACTAACTTGGATCATGTTGCAGTAAGTGCACCAACAGATGTACTTTCGAAACTAGATGTGCACCATCCACCTATACTATGTGAGCTCTCATTTACCCATTTCAAAAATCCACGCTATTGTAATAATAGAACTAAGCTAAACTATCATAGGGCAGATTACGTGGCGATTGGCGAGGCACTGGAGCAAGTCGATTGGCCATCAGAGTTTGATCCTTGTATGACTGTAGATCAGATGGTAGATATTTTTTATAATTTACTGTATGGGTTAATTGAACGCTACGTTCCAAAAGTACCAATAAAATCCACTAAATATCCGTACTGGTTCTCTAGGCAGCTTATTAAAAGACTAAATGAGAAGAACCGCTTACGGCTTAAAGTTAAAAAGTATAATAATCCACTGGACATTATTGAACTAGATGTTCTTAGGAAAAGATGCGACCATATGGCCACGACTTGCTATACTACTCATATTGCTGATATGGAGGAAAAAATCACGTCCAACCCAAAATATTTTTGGAGCTACCTAAAAATGAAGAGAGGCGGTACCAGTAACTACCCCAGTTCCATGACAGATGGTATAAACACCTCTGACAACATAAATGAAATTTGTAATTATTTTGCCTCTCATTTTTCAAAGGTGTATGGTGCTGCTGGAAATGGTGTCCATGCGACCGCACATGCTGACACGGATAGCTGCATAAGTAATAGCATGTTAGGCCAAATAACTATCCCACAAGATCAGATCCGCAAAGAATTAAAAAAATTGGATATATAGAAGGGAGCAGGCCCTGATGGCATACCTGCTCTGCTTTTAAATAAGTTCGCAGATATTCTATCATTGCCATTAACCATATTATTTAATTATTCTCTGCTGCGGGGTAGCTTTCCGACTATTTGGAAGCAAACCAAAATTGTGCCAATTTTCAAAAACGGGGATCAGTCCGATGTGGGCAATTATAGGCCTATCGCCATTCTCTCCACTCTGGCTAAGGTATTTGAAGCTCTTATATGCCCTGTGCTTGTTAGACATTTATCACAGCTAATAATATACAACCAACACGGATTTATGAAGGGAAAATCGACAGCTACCAATTTGGTGTCCTATGTTGAAGGCATTGTGGAGGAGGTTGATACGCGTGTCCAAGTTGATGCAGTCTACACCGACTTTAGCAAGGCTTTTGACGTAGTAGATCATGACATACTCGTCATGAAG